ATGATGGGACTTGTAGTTCTGCGACAGCTGGAAGTCCACAGGTTGAAGCACCCATGGACTATTGGATGTGTACTGTGCATAGAGCATTGCATATGACTGCAAATAATGTGTACAAACAGAAATGAGGGGGGATGTTACAAGGAGGCAGAAAAACACAGTAAGAAAATATTCCAGGAAAAATAGATTAGGTAGTAGATGAGTATGGATTATTTTTAGAGAATAAGGATACCATTTAGTGGCACTTTATTCATTTGCTGCTCAGCAGTCCTTAGATGAGTTGGCTGCAGGTGTGGACTGACAACTCATGGGGCCCCCGGGCAATGGGGGATCATGGGGCCCCTGTGTCTTTGCCCAAACTCAAAAAAGCCTATGAAAAGGTACCAGGGGCATCTCATGGGGCCCTCAGTGCCCGAGTTTCCAAATGGTCAGTCCACCCCTGGTTGGCTGCATTACATTTGATTTTCCAGGCTAAAAACATTTATTCAGCAAGTACAGAAAATACCCGCCAGAAATTCAGTGTCCTTCTCACTTCCCATGAGATGAACTGAAAGCAGAAACCATCAAATTTTTTCTTCTGTAAAGTACTAACCTCCTCTCCTGCAATGAAGATGATCAAAAGCAGGGACGTTTGTACTGCAGCCTGTGTGACAACCAGAGGAGTAACCAGCATCAAGCACACAGGGCATATGCCCAGCATCTTCTGTGTGTGGCCCTGGTGTCCTGAGCGCCTGCACAATCCTTATGATCTATGCTGTCAGACGGCACAGAGCCAATCAGAGTGGCTCTGTACCTTGTGATCACTGTGTTGGTCAATCAGAGGGATCACAAATGTAAGCAAAAGCTTGTGCCCACCCCTTCCTCCTCTGTCACTGATCCCTGTCTTTCTTTCTGTACATCTCTGCAGGTACGTGTAATACTGCTCCCAATGACCATAAAAACAGGGGGCACAATGATCACCAATGTATAATATATCCAAATTTCTATACATAACATGTTCCTAGTCAATCAGTATTTTGTGGGTACAAGGACTGTGATATATGTACTGCGAGTAGGCTTAGACTATATCTAATCATTTTCCTTTTAGGCCACACCCAATATCCAGCGCAATTTAGCCTCACCGCCGCTTCAAGTTCCAGGTACTGAGGTTCCAGTTATGTCTGTGAGCCTCTTGCTTGTTGTAAGGTCATTAAAGTGTATTTTTGGTGTGCCAAAGGACTGTGGTATATGTGTGTCAATGGGTGGGCTCAGGTTTTATTGAACCATACCCTCCTTAAGCCTCTCCCACTGTTAGCTCATTTAGACCACACTCACCATTCACTGAGATAGGCTACATTCCTCAAGGTGCCCAAGGGTACCCCTAGTTACGTCCCTGGTGACAACAGTGGCTCCTTCCATAGATCCAGTGGAGGAATGAGTGTAGCCACTCAGAGACTGGAAATGTGTTATTGGCAAAATCATGCAGTAAAAATAAGAGAATAACAAAAAAATATTACAGGCACCTTTTTTAAGAACTAATAACCTGCAATATCTTACTTTTTTGGTTTCAACATGCTTTAAAGTGTACCTAAACCCCAAAAACAAAAATGTATTTTGGTTGCATTACTTTCATTTTTGTCATTATTTTCACCTGGTGATCCTTCCAATAACACACTTCCTGTTCTAGGGTAACAATACTTACCCAGCATCTTTTATGTACAGAGCAGCAGGATTACCCTAGGACAGGGCCGCAAAATACCTGTCCTAGGGTCCCATCCTAACATACCTGTCCTAGGGTCCCATCCTAACATACCTCTCCTAGGGTCCCGTCCTAACATACCTGTCCTAGGGTCCCGTCCTAACATATCTGCCCTAGGGTCCCGTCCTAACATACCTGTCCTAGGGTCCTGTCCTAACATATCTGTCCTAGGGTCCCGTCCTAACATACCTGTCCTAGGATCCCATCCTAACATACCTGTCCTAGGATCCCATCCTAACATACCTGTCCTAGGGTCCCGTCCTAACATACCTGCTCTAGGGTCCCGTCCTAACATACCTGCCCTAGGGTCCCGTCCTAACATACCTGTCCTAGGGTCCCGTCCTAACATACCTGTCCTGGGGGCCCATCCTAACATACCTGTCCTAGGGTCCCGTCCTAACATACCTGTCCTAGGGTCCCGTCCTAACATACCTGTCCTAGGGTCCCGTCCTAACATACCTGCCCTAGGGTCCCGTCCTAACATACCTGCTCTAGGGTCCCGTCCTAACATACCTGCCCTAGGGTCCCGTCCTAACATACCTGTCCTAGGGTCCCGTCCTAACATACCTGTCCTGGGGGCCCATCCTAACATACCTGTCCTAGGGTCCCGTCCTAACATACCTATCCTAGGGTCCCGTCCTAACATACCTGTCCTAGGGTCCCGTCCTAACATACCTGTCCTAGGGTCCCATCCTAACATACCTGCCCTAGGGTCCCGTCCTAACATACCTGCCCTAGGGTCCCATCCTACCATACCTGTCCAAGGATCCCGTCCTAACATACCTGCCCTAGGGTTCCGTCCTAACATCCCTGTCCTAGGGTCCCATCCTAACATACCTGCCCTAGGGTCCCGTCCTAACATACCTGTCCTAGGGTCCCGTCCTAACATACCTGTCTAGGGTCCCGTCCTAACATACCTGCCCTAGGGTCCCGTCCTAACATACCTGCCCTAGGGTCCAGTCCTAACATACCTGTCCTAGGAATCCTGTCTTAACATACCTGTTCTAGGGTCTCGTCCTAACATACCTGTCCTAGGGTCCTGTCCTAACATACCTGCCCTAGGGTCCTGTCCTAACATACCTGTCCTAGGATCCTGTCTTATCATACCTGTTCTAGGGTCCCGTCCTAACATACCTGTCCTAGGGTCCCGTCCTAACATATCTGCCCTAGGGTCCTGTCCTAACATACCTGTCCTAGGGTCCTGTCCAATCATACCTGTCCTAGGGTCCTGTCCTAACATGCCTGTCCTAGGGTCCTGTCCTAACATATCTGTCCTAGGGTCCTGTCCTAACATATCTGTCCTAGGAACCAGCAAACACAAATGCTCCTGCGCTTGGGGATGGACTCGATGCTACAACCACATTAAGAATGTCCTGGAACATGCACACCTTGCTGCCCTCAAATGGACCGGGGGAATCCAAATATACTGAATGGGGAAAGAACAAAAAGAGGGCGCACAGTCCTAGTGCATTACATAAACCTGTCCTAGGGTGTTGTCCTCACAAACGACATAGTCTGCACATCTAGGGTCCTGTCCTAACATACCTGCGCTAGGGTCCCATCCAGTTTAGACATCCAAAACCTGTCCGTTTAGGGCCTGAGGAAGAGGCAAGTCCTGAAACCTGTCAGCCTTTTGGATGTCCCTATTGTCCTAACATATCCTGTTCTTCCTATGGGTCCTGACTATATTGTCGTTTGTGACTATATCTGTCCTAGGGTCCTGTCCTAACATACCTGTCCTAGGGTCCCATCCAATCATACCTGTCCTAGGGTCCGTCCTAACATACCTGTTCTAGGGTCCTGTCCTAACATACCTGTCCTAGGGTCCTGTCCTAACATACCTGTCCTAGGGTCCCATCCAATCATACCTGTCCTAGGGTCCCGTTCTAACATACCTGTCCTAGGGTCCTGTCCTAACATACCTGTCCTAGGGTCCCATTCTATCATACTTGTCCTAGGTTCCTGCGCTAACATACCTGTTCTAGGGTTCTGTCCTAACATACCTCTCTTAGGGTCCCATCCTAACATATCTGTCCTAGGTTCCTGCCCTAACATACCTGTTCTAGGGTCCTGTTCTAACATACCTGTCCTAGGGAAATGTCCTAACATACCTGTCCTTACAAACCTGTCCTAGAGGCTTTCAATGGTTTATTTAATGGACCAAAATGGCACTTATTCATTGTTCATTGTTGGGGTTCACACACACACACTTTATTTCAAGGGAACCTTATACAAAATATGTGGCAGTTTATTAGGCTTGATCCACCCCCTTCCATTGCCGATTGTTCTTGGAACCATCACACAGAGCGGGTTGCAAGTGTCAGGAGGTAGGAGAGCGCAAGGCCAATCATCGGCATTATTGGATGACGTCACCATTGGAAGTATTTGGGGCGCTCTGAAGATTGTTTGCATCCACAGTTCCAATTGTTTGTTTTGCAGAGAAGATTTGCTTTAAAACAAGTCAAAAGGCCACAGATTCTCTGGCGGCTTTTCTGAATTCAGACAAATTTTGGTTGCCTTTTCCCTATTTTAAGCCTGGATCTGAGTTTACCCAGGTGAGCTTTAACTTGCTACATTTATTCTATTCAATTTAAGTGAACACCTTATAAAACTGTTAATTAACTTCAAAGTGGAGTTCTTGTGCTTGTTTGCTTGCCTGAAAATGATTATGTAAATAGAACTTCCCAGTGGCTTGCATGCTAATCAGCTCATTAACCAGGATTTGCATTGACCTACTCCAGGCTGCTTGTGTAAAGCAGGGTAGAGAGAAGGAAGGAGTCTTCCCTACTATTTTATGAAAGAATTGCATGCACGAAAGATGGTCCCACTTACACATGTGCATGCCGGAAATTTTTGTTTCGCCATATTCGTTATGTTGAACTGATTTTTTGGGGAATTCATTTTGTATCTTCGGTATTCGTTTTGTACATTTCCTGGTCTGGGTGGATTTTAAAAACTTTGTAGTTTTTCTACAGATTTCTATATATTGCATATATTATCGAATTGGAAGGATTGATACTATATTTTTGGACTCTAGTCCAACCCACCAAGAGAAGTGGCATGAGCTGATTGGACAATATCGTCTGGCGCCATGTGCATTCGAATTAATGAATGGAGGGAAATTCCTATGCATTTGTTATCCTAATTTGAATTACTGAATGAATTTAAAAATGTAATTAACTTTTCCATGGGCCCAAACTACTATCACATCACATACTATCACTGGGTAAATGCAGTTGCCGGTTATCGGCTGCACTTTCCTCACACTGTCACTGATGATCAGTGCCCTGATGATCTGTGCCACCCACCTGTGCCCATCAGTGCCACCCACCTGTGCCCTGCAGTGCCACCCAGCAATGCCACTCACCTGTGCCCATCAGGGCCACCCACCTGTGCCCTGCAGTGCCACCCAGCAATGTCACCCACCTGTGCCTGCAGTGCCACCCACCTGCGCCCATCAGTGCCACCCACCTGTGCCATGCAGTGCCACTCACCTGTGCCCATCAGTGCCACCCACCTGTGCCCATCAGTGCCACCCACCTGTGTCCATCAGTGTTGCCCAGCAGTGCCGCCCAGCAGTGCCCATCAGTGCCTCCCATCAGTGCCCAGCAGTGCCGCCCATCAGTGCTGCCCATCAGTGCCACCCAGCAGTGCCGCCCATTAGTGCTGCCCAGCAGTGCCGCCTATCAGTGCCCATCAGTGCTGCCTATCCATGCCACCTCATCAGTGCCCATCAGTGCTGCCTATCAGTGCCCATCAGTGCTACCTATCAGTGCAGCCTCATCAATGCACATCAGTGATGGAGAAAAATTACCTGTTTGCAAAATTTTATAATAGAAATAAAGAAAAACTTTTTTTTTTTTCAAAATGTTTTGCTCTTTTTTTGTTTATAGTGCCAAAAACAAAACACCCAGTGGCGATTAAATACCACCAAAAGAAAGCTCTATTTGTGTGAAAAAAAATGATCAAAATTTAATATGGGTACAATGTTGCATGAAACTACTATCTTCATCTGAATAAATAAATATAGTCTATAAATGTCTATAAGGATACTTATACGGGACAAACTCTTCTTAGATTGTAAGCTCCCAGGATCAGGCCCCCCTATCCCTCTTGTATTGAACTGTATTGTTGCTGTATTGTCTCCCGTTATATTGTAAAGTGCTGAGCAAACTGTTGGCGCTATATAAATCCTGTATAATAATAATAATAATAGGAGTTTGTTTATGTGCCTGCGCTTCAACTGATGCAACCCTTATGTCAGTGGCAGCAAAAGGGTTAAGAGGGGTGGAAAGGATATGTAAAACTGTACAGCCAGTTTTGCAGCCTTAACAATCTTTCCAGACACCACTGATAAGTCACCACTTTATAGTGACTACCACTATGGAATCCTGACAGTTTGATTAAGAACAGATTCCCCAACCTGCTGAATGGACAGTGAAAGAGCAGCAGCACACTAAATGGGCCATCCTTCTGCTCCATCATCCTTTAGCACATGTGGTAAAGTCTTCTTGGCTTCTTGTGTTTCCCCTTCCTCTCCAAGTCTAAACACAGATCTGCAGGCAGTCAAAGGCAATTGATACTTATATTCTCAAATTAAGATAATTATATATAAAAGAGCCATTCATAATTGTAATACATAACTGCATTTATTGTTGTTTATTTCTTTTTCCTTTTCCATTCATAATTTTATTACATAACTGCATTTATTGTTGTTTATTTCTTTTTTTTTCCATTCATAATTTTAAATACATAACTGCATTTATTGTTGTTTATTTCTTTTTCCTTTTCCATTCATAATTTTAATACATAACTGCATTTATTGTTGTTTATTTCTTTTTCCTTTTCCATTCATAATTTTAATACATAACTGCATTTATTGTTGTTTATTTCTTTTTCCTTTTCCATTCATAATTTTAATACATAACTGCATTTATTGTTGTTTATTTCTTTTTCCTTTTCCATTCATAATTTTAATACATAACTGCATTTATTGTTGTTTATTTCTTTTTCCTTTTCCATTCATAATTTTAATACATAACTGCATTTATTGTTGTTTATTTCTTTTTCCTTTTCCATTCATAATTTTAATACATAACTGCATTTATTGTTGTTTATTTCTTTTTCCTTTTCCATTCATAATCATAATTTTAATACATACATAACTGCATTTATTGTTGTTTATTTCTTTTTCCTTTTCCATTCATAATTTTAATACATAACATTTATTGTTGTTTTTTTCTTTTTCCTTTTCCATTCATAATTTTAATAACTGCATTTAATGTTGCATTCATAATTTTAATACATAACTGCATTTATTGTTGTTTATTTCTTTTTCCTTTTCCATTCATAATTTTAATAGATCACTGCATTTATTGTTGTTTATCTTTTTCCATTCATAATTTTATTACATAACTGCATTTATTGTTGTTTTTTTTCCATTCATAATTTTAATACATAACTGTATTTATTGTTGTTTATTTCTTTTTTCTTTTCCATTCATAATTTTAATACATAACTGAATTTATTGTTTATTTCTTTTTTTCTTTTCCATTCATAAATTTAATACATAACTGTATTTATTGTTGTTTATTTTTTTCCATTCATAATTTTAATACATAACTGCATTTATTGTTGTTTATTTTTTAATACATAACTGTATTTATTGTTGTTTATTTCTTTTTTCTTTTCCATTCATAATTGTAATACATAATTGCATTTATTGTTTATTTCTTCTTTCTTTTTTTATTATTATTATTATTATTATTATTATTATACAGAATATATATAGTTCCAACAGTTTGCTCAGCGCTTTACAATATAATGGGAGACAATACAGCAACAATACAGTTCAATACAAGAGGGTTAGGAGGGCCTGATCCTTGGAGCTTACAATCTAGGAGGGAGGGGTTAGTGGTACAAAAGGTAGTAACTGTGGGGGATGGACTGGTAGGAGGAATAGAAGATCGATTGTTAGCTGAGAGCAGGATAGGCTCCCTGAAGAGATAGGTTTTCTTTTTCTTCTTTTATTTAATCTCAGCTTTGTATTTTTATTTCACCTACGTTTTTTTTTTTATCACTTAGTAAACATGTTTTTTTTTCATTTAGCCAACCTAATGGAAAATGCTGAGTAATTTTATCCCGCATCTCTAACAATGGCTCTTTACACAGCCTGCCCAAGCTGTTTCTGACTATTTAGAATTTCATTACTAATTTCCCACTCCATCCATTCCAATGCCATCATCACAGACCAATTATAAAGCGCTCTAACTGCAATGCTGATATACATACTCATTTGATTTAACTCAGACGATAGCATAGGCAGTTCTCTAGAGAGCAGGGATGGCTGATAATGCAAAGAGCTGGATGGAAATTGGGAGTTCAAACTGAATACTGGCCAATAAATAAATAGCCCATTAAAAGATAAAACACAAACTCAGCTTTGATTGAAAATATTCACCTCTTATCCATTTACCCCAAAGTATCTTTTTCTGCCCCTAGATGTCTTCAGCCTGGATGATATCATCATTCAACCCACTTCTTCTCAGCCCAGGTCATCCTGCACCAGCCCCCAGCCTGCGATTAGACAGTGACAGAGAAGCAGCACAGTGATGAGCTCATCTCTCTGTCACTCTGCCCTCTCCTTCTATCAGCATGTTTCTCTTCAGCACAGGGGCGGACTGACAACTCATGGGACCCCTAGGCAGTAAGGGGATCATGGGGCCCCTGTGTCCTTGCTCAAACTCAAAAAAGCCTATGAAAAAGCTACCAGGAGCATCTCATGGGGCCCCCTACTCCCTCAGGCAGTGCCCGAGTTTCCAAATGGTCAGTCTGCCCCTGGTCCTGGGAGACCAGATATAGTGAATGCAGGGTCCTGGGAGGCCAGATATAGTGAATGCAGGGTCCTGGGAGATCAGATACAGTGAATGCAGGGTCTTGGGAGACCAAATATAGTGAATGCGGGGTCCTGGGAGACCAGATATAGTGAATGCGGGGTCCGGGGAGACCAGATATAGTGAATGCGGGGTCCGGGGAGACCAGATATAGTGAATGCGGGGTCCTGGGAGACCAGATATAGTGAATGCGGGGTCCGGGGAGACCAGATATAGTGAATGCGGGGTCCGGGGAGACCAGATATAGTGAATGCAGGGTTCTGGGAGACCAGATATAGGGAATGCAGGGTCCTGGGAGACCAGATATAGTGAATGCAGGGTCCTGGGAGATCAGATATAGAGATTGCAGGGTCCGGGGTGAGACCAGATATAGTGAATGCGGGGTCCTGGGAGATCAGATATAGTGAATGCGGGGTCCTGGGAGACCAGATATGGTGAATGCGGGGTCCGGGGAATCCAGATATGGTGAATGCGGGGTCCTGGGAGACCAGATATGGTGAATGCAGGGTCCTGGAAGACCAGATATAGTGAATGCAGGGTCCGGGAAGACCAGATATAGTGAATGCAGGGTCCTGGGAGACCAGATATAGTGAATGCAGGGTCCTGGGAGACCAGATATAGTGAATGCAGGCTCCTGGGAGACCAGATATAGTGAATGCAGGGTCCTGGGAGACCAGATATAGTGAATGCAGGGTGCTGGGTTTAGTAACACTTTAAAGGAGATACTGGACAGTCTATTAGGGAAGTCTGTAATTGTAAAAAAAAGTTTAGGAGCCCCTATTCTTTAGGCTAATTGCATTCATCTATATAAAGTGTGTATTTACTGTAGATTATACTGTACTAATGATGTTTATTATATATTAAATGTGATGTTCTCAAAATGTTCCAATTACAGTGCAGTCTTTAATTATTAGAATTGTAATGGCCGTACGAGCCACAAGGTGGTGCATGTGCATCAGCTGAATCTAAGGGACATCATGATGATAAGCAAGATAAATGTCTGTGGATCTGCCACGCTCTTATTGGTATAAATTGGCCACTTATTGTAAAGTTCTTGTAAGCAAAGCGCCTGTAAATCCTCTTACGGGATTAATATCAGCTGTTAAGAGCCGCTGACCACAGGTTTTCCTATCTCCAGCATCAACACATCATTTAATAAGCCACCATTGACAAATGAACCCTATCACTATTCCGCACAGGTGACTAATGTGAATGTTTAAAGTCAATGTGAACTACAGACTTCCGAATCACCTGGAAATTGGAAGTTGTTGGCCGTTCACCTTGCTATGGTTGCGGACTTGTGCTCTGATATGTAATTAGTCATGGGTAATGGAGGTTTTATAACTGCAGTGTGGGACCAGCAGCTCAATACCTTGCTAATGATCCGGGCAAAGAACGATGAGAAAAGGGCAGATACTCATAGGAACTGACTTGCATTCATGATACGACTAAGGAAACATGAGATTAGAAATTATATTGTTGATTACTTTAGTACAGTGGTCTCCAAACTGCGGCTCGGGGGCCAGATGGGGCCTTTGCTTTCCCTTTTCTGGCCGTTAAAGCATTTCACCAACTGTAACCAATGATGTGGCACCATTCCTCCTACTGACACCATCAATGGGACACTATTCATCTCATTGATATCAACAATGGGCACTATTCCTCCCATTATAACCAATGAGGGGACACTGATGGGTATTTTCTACTCCCACTGGCTACAGTCTATCCCCCTAGAGACCTGCTTCAT